TCTAAAAAAAATTAGAAATAGATCAGAAAAATCTACATGCAACTTTAAATAAAAGGGCACCTGATATTTTTAAAAAATTGAAAATAGAATGTAAAGAAAAGAAGAAATTTGGATTCGACAGAAATTGAGGAAAAAATGTTCCAAATTGGAGATTCGTTCTCTATATTATATACACACACCCCCACCCCACCCCACGCACGCACGCACGCACGCACGCACATATATATATTACTATTTTTTTTCTTTTCTTCTTAGAAGTAAATCTTTAAAATGTTTGGACGACAAAAAATTAATTTCAATAATAAAATGCTCCTCAACATTTATCGAATTTATTCTTTTTCAAAGTTATATGTATATATAATAGACCTTTCTTTACTTATAAACTTTAAATTATAAACACGCAATAAAATTGCGTTAATTTAATATGAAATAATAGAATATATATATTGTATATATATGAGTTTTTTGTTCCTCATGTCCCTCATATTTTGTTCCTCATATCTCAGCTTTCCTTATCGTAATCGCTACAATAATATAATCAACATCATCATCTTCATTTCGGGATCAGTCAGGAAGAAAGTGATAACGCGATTATATATATATATATATATACACACACGATATGTCGTAATATACATATACATGTTTCAATACAAATGTTTATTACGAAATTATAGTGACATCTGCGTATCACAGGAGAGCTCAGTCGATTCTTTAGAAACCACTCCATATCGTTGTAGTCTTACATATTTCTCCTATATATTGCGTCCATTCAAATTTGAACATAAAAAAAGTTATAATGACAGAATAAATTTTACACAATTTTTTTATATATACAAGATACCATTTTAAAAAATATGCTTAAATATAAAAAATATTTCGCGTTTTGCAAATTATATTTACTTTTTGTGTTTTCTTCATACTAAATGATTCCTTTCATTATTTTGTGCATAAAAGTATATTGAGGTAAGATTATCAAAAAATGAATATTTTATTTTACGAGATTTCATTTAGTAGTTTATGTAGAAATATGTCAAATTGTGAAGTGTAAAATATTTCGTATAAACTTCACTCTTTAACCATCTTACAATTAATCTTATGATCTATTATGCCAAATATTATTATGAGAAAAACATTTAAAAAGCCAGATTGATCTTCAAATAATTTGAAAAATAATCTTAATTAAAATTCAAGATTATCAACTCCCTCTTTGAAACGAAACATAACATTTTGTTTAAAACATTATTTGGTTGAAAACGATGTTTTTTTTATACAATTTAAACATATTTTTAAAAACGGAACACTGTATATGTATAATTTCGCACAGAATCTGACTTCTTCAAATCGTAGATAAGAAATAAAAATAATATTTATTACATAAAAATATATGTAAGATGCAAATTAATCGATATACCGAATATTCTAGATAGAAACTCATAATATTTGATACCAATTAATTTACACCTTGTATATGCATATCTACATATATGTATACATATATACATACATACATACATATATATATATATATATATATATATATATATATAAATATAGAAAGACACGTGGAATTGAAAAAAGTTTCAGACAAAAGTTGTAGGGTTTCGAGGAGGGCATAAAATGGTGCCATTGCTTTGGTCTTGAAAAGTTATTGAAGGTCACGTGAGGTTTACCTTCAATTTCTTAAATGGAACCAACTATTTTTCATTGTATATTCTTGTAGCTTATCTCGAGAGATTTCCAAAACCCTATAACAAAGTATTTTTTCATGGAATACTCTTTGAGTTATAAAGGTTTGAAGCTAACAATTTTTTGACATAAAATGTAAAATATCTTATAAAATATTCAATTTTCGATAATTATGTCTTAATACTTTTCTGCACAGTATAATAAGATCAATCAATTGGTATAAGGAAAACAGATAATTGTTTTAAAAAGAATATGTAATATTCAACATGCAGCTATACTTTTTTATAAGCAACTATGTATTTTTTTACACCAATTGATTGATTCTATTATTCAGTGCAAAAAAGTATTAAGGCATGATTTTCGAAAATTTAATATTTTACAAGATATTTTACATTGTATGTCAAAAAATTGTTAGCTTTAAATCTTTATAACTCAAAGAGTACTCCATGAAAAAATACTTTATTATAGGGTTTTGGAAACCTCTCGAGATAAGATACAAGAATATACAATGAAAATAGATGATTCCATTTAAGAAATTGAAGGTGATCTTCACGTGACCTTCAAATGACTTTTCAAAGTCAAAGCAATGGCAGCATCTTATGTCCCCCTCAAAATTCTACAACTTTTGTCTGAAACTTTTTTCAATTCCACGTGTCTTTCTCCACTTATCTCAATGCGTCAATTAAAATAAAACACCCTGCATATATATGCGTGTTATTCATTTCGAATTTATTTTATAATAATTTCTCGCGACGGATTTTTTAAATAAAATCCCGAATGGAGTGGTCACTCGAGTTTCGTCATATGTTACAGATGTTTTTGTATTGCTCTTCGTATATATAGACCTTACTATCGCCTTTTTCTCAATTACAATTAAAAAAAGCAATTTCGAAAGTATAATATATAACGCTTTCGCGTCGTCGATTTATGAAAAATAGGCGCTCAGAGAGAGAGAGAGAGAGAGAGAAATGCAAAAGAATATGCCCAAGTAACAAACTGACGCCAATAAACCTTATAATGACGTCATTTTGATGTCTCTGACGTCATTTTGATGTCTCTGACATCATTTTGATGTCTATGACGTCATTTGACGTCAAAATGACGTACTTATGATTAACAATCATATAGAAACAACGTTAACAATCATATTGAACGTTAATAATAATATCCTCTTACTGATCGCAACATTTCTTTGACAGCAAATATAAGAATGTGTCTACGAATTGTAAGTAATCTTTTTTACTATAAATTATCATTACAATAAAAGAATATTAATGCGTACATTTTAGTGCCCATCGATTCTCCAACTAGATTTCTTCTTCAACTTTCATCTAATAAACTTTCTCTAACGATTATTAATAAGATTAATAGTTTTATAAGCATAGAATTAATCTCTCTTAGACCTGGATATCCGCTTGTATGTATATATGTATATATATATATAATATATATGTATATATATACACATTTTTAAAAGACCGATTCCACAATTTTCCAGAATTCACTCTCTTGAATATAATAATAACATATTCGCAAAGAAAAATTACGAATAATACGTGAAATATAATTCTGTAATTCTTTGTGAAAAAATTAAACAATTTGTTAGCAAGCGGGTCCACTTTCTAGGGCGAAAATTTTATTACAAATAAGAAGATTAATTTCAATAATAAATATAATCTCTTTTTAAAAATTTTTGGTATGTATAATTTCCAAACATATCTTAAAGCTTTTCAAATAAATAATACATTATCGTATATTGCATTATTTAATAATTTCTTTTTTTAATATTATTCTGTGAGGCTTCTCAAAAATATAAATAATATTGCCTTAACTAAGATGCTTTATGTTATGATTATAGCATATTTAATAATTAACGAAATATCGTAATAATTAATCTAAAATTAGACCAGCAATTATTTGAATTCAATCGTATATTTAATTGTAGTTGCGTTGCTGAACATCTGGATTAAATTATTATCACAATTAGCTCTTATATATACAGGGTGAGTCATTTTAATCAACGCACGTAAATATCTCGTATAGTAAGCAAGATGGAAAAAAATGTCTCAAACAAAAATTTTTTGACTATGAGGGGGACATAAAATGGTGTCATTGATTTGAACTAAACATTTTACAAGATATTTTACATTTTATGCCAAAAAATTGTAAAAAAACTTTAAACTTTTATAATTTGAAAAGTACTTCATCAAACAACACTTTATTATAGAATAGAAACGATATATTTAATTTGACCCAAACTAGCCAAGAAAATTTTTATTTTATTTCCACAACGTTTCGACCATCTGTTTTTGGTCCTTTTCAAGTGAAAAATTCCTTGATAAAAGCAGTTAATTGACACTGTTGTCATGATTATTAAACAATATGATTATCGGACTTTTTTTTAAAAACATTTGAAATAACTTTTGAAAGAACTTTTGAAAGAAAGTAACCGTGTATGAATGTAAACGTGTTTTTTGACGATCCATCATAACGATAAGATGCGGTTACTTTCTTTCAAAAGTTATTTCAAATGTTTTTAAAAAAGGCCGATAATCATATTTTGTTTAATAATCATGACAACAGTGTCAACTAATTACGCTTTTATCAAGGAATTTTTCACTTGAAAAGGACCAAAAACAGATGGTCGAAACGTTGTGGAAATAAAATAAAAATTTTCTTGGCTAGTTTGGGTCGAATTAAATATATCGTTCCTATTTTAAATACCACTAGCGACGTTTTAAGTATTCAATTTGACTTTATTATAGGTTTTTGGAAAGCTCTTTAGATAAGTTATAAGAATATGTAATGAAAATTAGCAGGTTCCATTAAAGAAATTGAAGGTGACCTTTACATGACCTTTAAATGATTATACAAGGTCAAATCAATAACACCATTTTATGTTCTCTTCATAGTCAAAAACTTTTGTTGGAAACATTTTTTCCATCTTGCTTACTATACGAGATATTTACGTGCGTTGATTAAAATGGCTCACCCTGTATATATATATATGTGTGTGTGTTGTGTATATATATATATATATATATATATATATTTTTTTTTTTTAAGATATGATTGTGAATATAATTATGTAAAATATTTTTTGTATGATAAAACAAAGTTTATTGGATCAATCAATCTAAAATAATACTTAAGAATTAGTTGTAATTAATCTGCAAGTTTTCAATTGATTAATAACAAATTTTAACGATGATAAAAATATTGATACAAATAAATTGCTCGTCCAATAATGCCTTTAGAATATTAACTTACATTATGAATGAAGGTTTTTATATGAAATACCTCAACATCAGTAATATTTTGTAACTTTGTGTGTGTAAGAGTGTAATTGATTATAAATTAAGTTTTTGTTTACAACAGTGGCATGTGAAAACAAGTGTCGCATAACAAAAGTATGTATTTTTTTTACTGACAGAAAACGGAGATGTAATCCTAATAAATAGGAAACTTTCAGCATTTTTACGTATCAAGAATCTCAGTTTGAAATATTTATAGAGACAAAGAGGCTCTCTTCTTCAGCTTCTTTCGCCGAAGCGTTTTAGCTATACCTAAAAACTAGAGTTATCAACATCGAAATTGTATTTTAACTTTAAAATGTTCAAAAATACGGGACACGTTTGATTCGCCTCGCATCGAACGTTTTAAAAAAGTATCGTTGATCTGAAACTTTTTTTTCTCTCTTTCTCTTGCACACACGCACACTTTCGCTCTCATTGTTATATCCTCTTATTCGGTTATTTTATATATTTATTCGCATTTTTTTTTATTCGCACAGCTTACTATTTATAATATTCTTATCTCTGCATATACGAAAATAAAGTAAAAACTGGTATGTAAGGGTCTGTCCTCGCTGAAAAACTCGCAACAATACGTTTTTTCCGTCCGAAATATAAATTGTTTTGCGTAATATATCTGTATATATATGTACTGAATCGACGTTTACATGTCGTTTACATACTTTTTCTCTTTCGCATGATTACATTATAATATAAAGCTAATATACTAATATACTATCTATATTAAAAATAACGCAAAATATATATAAACAATACGAATAAAGAGTGTTGTACTATACTTTTTAGTAGAAGATTGAGATAAAAAAAAAGAAATGTATATTATATATGTATATTTTGATTATGTAGAGAGAATCAAATGGCGGAAGTCTTCGTGCTGGGAAGTATGTTGGATACCTAAGAAAATCTTCACTCGATGAACAAAATTGTTCTGTTATATTGTAAAAGCTTTCGTTAAAATAACACATTCTAATACAAGAAAAAACTTTGTTTACTATACACATATTTTATGATAAATACAAAACATACGTTTATTGTCAAGTAATTATCATTAAAGTCAGATCTTTAACGCGATCCGCATTTGGTGTCAAATTAGTGTCCCTTACTTCTAAATTTTGTACCTATAAGTCACTACTAAAATGATATAACTTAAATAGCACAAAGAAACAGTATTTGGCATTAAAAAGAATCTCAATAACACATTTATATTTTAAACAACTTAAACTCACAATTTAAAAAAAAATTTGTTTTATATCGACGAAAAGTTGGTATCCAACAGACTTTTCCACATATTCAGGCTATGAATGATCAGTAGTCGCGATATGGGCAGTGAATGATTAAGCAAATATCAATATATTAAATAGGCTGACTCTCCCATTGAGGCGCCCATTCCGGAAGTCGTCAATCCACGCTAGATGGCGGCGCGGCATATCGGGAACGCGAATCCGAATCCCCGTCGCATATGTATTTTCCTGAAACAGCAAAATTAAGATTATACTTTTCAATTGTTTTTTCAATAAAAAATAAATAATATGTAAAACAATATAAGAACCTTATTTAGGCTCCTGACTATATTAGAATGGTGACGTCAGAAGTGAGAAAACACACGCCAGAAATTCTTACAAATTATTCAAAATATCAGAAGATGTTTTAGATAAAAGTTTTACAGTAAAAAGACCTCTATTTAAGGGAATGCTGGAGTGAGTTCGTTGTTTTTTCCTATTTTATTGACAAAATGTGAGGTTAGATAAAGTATAAATAGGTTATTCTTTTTATTGGCAGCTTGTACATACAAAATAAGACCCGGCCGGATTTGGCATTAGATAAAGGAATATAAGTGAATGTTTAGATATCAATTTGGAAGTCTAGTAAACGAGAATAACTCATCCTACATTTTCGTGCACACATGAAATTCTTTTTATTGGCAGCTTGTACATACAAAATAAAATCAGACCGGATTTGGCATTAGATAAAGGAATATAAGTGAATGTTTAGATATCAATTTGGAAGCCTAGTAAACGAGAATAACTCATCCTACATTTTCGTGCACACATGAAAATGTAGGATGAGTTATTCTCGTTTACTAGGCTTCCAAATTGATATCTAAACATTCACTTATATTCCTTTATCTAATGCCAAATACGGTCTGATCTTATTTTGTATGTACAAGCTGCCAATAAAAAGAATAACCTATTTATACTTTATCTAACCTCACATTTTCTTGATAAAACAGGAAAAAACAACAAACTCACTCCAGCATCCCCTTAACCACGTTAATAAAATTTTGAAAAAATGATTTTTCTAAATTATTAATTCTCAAAAATTATTTTTTCAAAATTTTATTCACGTAGTTAAATAGAGATATTTTTATTATAAAATTTTTGTCAAACTTTTTTTTTATATCTTGAATAATTTTCGAGATATCTTGTGTGCTTTCTCGCCTCTGACGTCACAATCTAACATAGCCGCAGCGAGGACCCAGGAATCTTAAGTATATGAAATAAATTTATAATTTAGAATATATTTATGTTGATTATGTTGTTTTTATATTCATTGAAAATATAGCAAGAGGTATCTACTCAAATCTTGTAAAAAAATTCAAATATTTTCAAATATTTTCAATTAAAATTTTAAATAAAGAAAGGAAATTTGTATGAATGTAAAATATTATTTAAAATAAGTTTCTTTATGCGCTTTCTATTCATACGATTGAAAAGAAAGTTATCATATACTTTTACCAGCATTTAATATCGACTTTTTAATCGTAAAATTAATTTGAACAATATAACAAAGTGCAATATATCACTATGTTTAAATGCAAAAGATATATATAAAAATGTAATATAAAAATATAAAACAAAAAATAATTTACTAAGATTAATTCAAGGCTCTGTAATATATTAAATATAAATCACAAATAATAAAGGCCGAAAGAGCCATACGCGGATATTGCTGCGTACATTTGCAACGTAAATTAATTTTTCGTTGGAAATAATCCGTGCACAAGGCACATATCATTCTCGATGTACTACCAAGATTTAAAATTTGAAATCTCATACTTGAGATTTAATTTCAAAAACCCTCTAACTCCCCTAAGCAAAATAAAGAAATAAATGCAAAAGAAAAATATAGATCCGAAAGTTGCTGAATCGGGATTAAAATTAAATCACAAGTATGAGATTATTTCAAGTTTTAAATCTTGGTAGCACACCGAGAATAATACGTGCCTGGTGCACGGTTTATTTCCAACGAAAAATTAATTTTCGTTGGAAATGTACGCAGCAACATCCGCGTATGGCTCTTTTAGGCCTTTATTATTTATGATTTATATTTAAAAAATAATTTATTTTAAATATATACGTCTTAAGGAGTACTAATTTATTTAAATATTGTTAAAAATTGAACAATTTTCTATAGAGTTCTCATAAAACTTTATATTAAAAAGGAATCACATTAAACTCATATGAAATTTTGACAAAAACTTACATATTACAAAGGAATATATTTGTAAAACATATTTTTTTTAAATATCCTTTTTATACTGTTATTCGTGATTAATGCATGCATTAATCGAGTGATATTTAATAATCCAAATTTAACGTACCAGACACAAATTTTCGCTTCACCAAGCTTAATCTATATCCGGAACCTATGAGCTCAAACTCGACCCCCGACAGTGTGGTCCCTTCGCAATTGAACTGGGTGAATATAGTGCCCTGACTGCCCGGGCCATGTTCGAGCTCAACCCGCGCCTTCAGGGACCCGACTCCATTGCCCTCGCTGTGCTGCGAAAGCTCCGTAAACTTCCACAAAACGCGATTCGTGTCGGACAACCACTGCGCCGGTGGTTTGCTGTTGAGTGATTTGAAGCCGCCGTCGATCGGCGCCGCGACGTGGAGATTCAGTAGAGGACTCGGTGAGGCCATAGCGCGACTATTATATTTGTAATCGATCTAATGAAAAAAAAAGACAAATTACTATATATAAAACATTCTTTGAGGGTTGGGTAGTTAATGATTTTTTAAAACTAAGTTAATTGCTTATAAAATTAATTTATACGATATATTTATAAATTATATAATTTAGTTGTTTTATAAATTTAACGTATAAGACGGGCAACAAGAGCCAAATCGCGGATGACAATGCGTTATCCTAACGAAACTAAATAATTTTCCGTTAGAATTAAATACCGGTGCACAAGGCACCAAATTTTACTTGGACACGGCCAAGATTTTAAAATATGAAATAATCTCATATTTGAGATTTTAATTTCAATACCCCCTTTAACCCCCCTACGGAAAATAAATAAATGAATGCAAGAGAAAAATATAGATTAGTTGTTTTAATTAAGTTTACATGAACACAAAATTAACTCACAGTTAAAGTTAAGATAAGATTAAATTAACTGAAATTAAATTAAAGTTAATTTTAAAAATATTATTTATATTAAATTAAAACTTTGTTAATTCCTTTAAAATTTATAAAACAAATAACAAAGAAATTTTGATTTTTATATAGAAATGTATTTTTTGGTAGATACAATTGATGACAAAAAACATAAAAATTAATAATGCTTTAATTTAATATATTATGTTTATAACTTATAAAAAAACAATAATGGTATTCAGAGATAAAAAAATTAACTTAAGAAAAAAGTTAATAAGTTTAAGATCAAAAAGAACTAGTTGAAATTAAAAATTCATACATTTTAAATTAATTAAACTAAATTAAAAGTTATTAACTTTTTAACTTTTAACTAATTAACTAGTTATTATTTAACCCTGATTCTTTAACAAAATTTTCTTGAGAAATACTAAATTTTTCAAAATAAAAAATCTGACAATTTCCGGGTTTTCCAAGAAAGGAGATCCTACATCCGTCTGTTACACCGATAAAAATTTAATGATTAAACGAACTTACCAAGTAAAGTTCGATCATAATTATGCAGGGGGTTTCGTCCGGATAAAATGCAATGTAGTCGTGCCTTAAGCGCACATCCACAACAACGTTCAGATTTCGAAAATTCCGGTTGTAGTAGGCGCCGGCGTATATAACAACAAGTTTCAAAGTTTAAATCCAAAAGCAAATCGCAAGAAAACATAGGGGAAGAAAAAAGGGAGGGAAGTTTATGCGGACGAGACCCCCCCCCCCCCCGCATAATTATATGATCGAACTTTACTTGATAAGTTCGTTTAATCATTAAATTATGGTGGGGGCCTCGTCCGGATAAAATACAATGTAGATGTTTAGAGAGCGATTTGCAAATTCATTACCGGTAGAAAATCTGAAAGAGAACTGGTGTTTTTATATAAATAAACCTTGCAAGAAAAACGGCAGATGATGTCATAAAGGAAAATATATTAAAAAGCATAAATAAATACAGAGTTAATTTAATATAATTGCATTTGAAAAACGCATCGGGGTTAACAATTGGAATATAAAACTTAGCGAAAAATTTGAGAACGGGGACCAACCCGCCGCTCTCGCTAATTAAGTCTACAGAAATGCTTTTTGACCGCGAAAAAGTCGATGCGTGACGGTTGTGCTATGAGCCAAGAAAGAAAATTAACAACCCCACAGTCGATTAAAGTCTCGCGAATCCATCTACTAATGGTTTGTACACCGACAGATTTGTGAGAAGTTTTAAAGGAGAGATGAAAAAGAATCAGAATCTGTTGAACAAAGTTCAACTGTTCGGTTGAAAGTAATGTTCTAGTAAACCAACGATGCAAAGATTAATACTCGCTCGTTAAAGTGCGAAAAAGATAAAAGAGGTTGAAAGCGAGATCCGGGAGCAGAAGTCTTAATACAATCCGGAACTCTTATAACTATCTTATTAAGAGAAAGAGAAATAAAAGGAATTCGTATAGCAGTGAGAGATTGACAGCGTTGTCCCGGAACCGAGAGCGAAGAGAAGGACCAGTTTTCTTGGTAATTTTTCAAG